TTCAATAGGGAATTATTAGAACTGAAATGTGTGTTTTTCCTTCCATCCCGCCATTATATCCATTCTTATTCCTTTCACCCACTTCCCCATGTAATCTTTGTCCTTGTGCCCCATAAAAACAGCTGGCTTGTTGGGGGGTGGAGAGCAGATTTTCATGGATGGAATACTGCTGGAATAAATGTTCATTTATGACTCAACCCTGTCTATGCTGAATTGGCTCAAGTAGTGACAGGCAGCCCGGTTACATTGTGAGCACTGGATGAAATGATAAAATTGCGTTTCTAAAATGCCTGGCATATAGGATGCATCAACGAGTTGTGATTTTCTTGCAGAACTTTGGTCCTCATGAATACAGACTTAAAGTGGCCCTATGCAACTAAGTTCCCTAAAGCCAACACACGCGCGCGCGCACACGCACACACACACACACACACACACACACACACACACACACACGAGCCAGGATTTGAACTTGGCTCTCCAAATTAACAAATTTTCAGTTTCATCTCATGGGAGAGCCTTCCTAGCCTTACCCAAACCTAGCCAAGTCCAAAAGACGGGGTCTTCTTCCTACTTCTTGAGGCGGTATTCTATAAATCAAGTCCCAGATTTTTATGTGAGTATGCAAGGGGCTTCTGGCAATTCAATAGCAGTCATGAAATCTATTATGTACGGGTCGAAAGTAAATGTTTTACCGTCATTAAGAGGCTCCAGATTTAAAACAGATGGCCTCATCAAGAGAAAAACTGCTACTTCCTCTTCAGCTCCAACACTGCCCAACTGCCTTCCTTCAAAGGGTTTCATTTTCATCTAATAATCTTAATTGGACAAGGCCTTCCCCTAGCTTTGCCAGGAAGCCAATATCTTGGAAGGGAAAAGTTAGCTGGATTTGCTGAGCATGACTAAGCACCAGACACGGTGCACAGTCTCACCTCCTTTGAGAATGGTTTGAAATAAGTATATTTGACATCAGTTTATAAGAAACTAGAGATCAAGTAATTCATCCGGAATCCTCCAAGAGCAAGTGGAAAAGTGACGAGGTGATTTGAAAGTCAAAAGCCAATGACAACTGTGGGGAAAGGAACTTTGCAGTTTTGAGAAAAGTTGTGAAAGTGGAAATAGACAAATCTCATAAGCTCCACTAGAGATCACAGTGAGGCAGTAGAACAAAAAGAAGAGAAGCCTTTTACTAAAACACAGAAAATATTGACCACATTCTACTTTCAACCCAAACCCAAGCCCAGGCTCCATGCCCTGTGCAGTTTCAAATTACTAGAGGGTGGTCTGACACCCAGACTTACTAAATAAAGGAATCCTAAATCTCTACTTGTAACTCTTGCCAATTCTCTCGTTTTTTCTGGTGTTTTAAAAAGTTGCCACTTTGGAAGAAGACGGTAGGTGGTGTGTGGCTGTTTCACTCTGAATTTGCTAAATTGATTTCTAAACTGATTTCTGAAAATCCATTAGAGGGAAGCTAAATTAGTGCCTGGATTGTATTGGCAAACTGTTTGTTCTTCAATTGTGACATGAAGATACTCAAGTGATTACACAATCCGGTGTGTTCTGTCAGGTGACCCAGTTCTATTTTCAGCTACATATATAGAAGCAGCAGCCCTGGGAGCGTGGCCTGGCATAAAGGAAGCCAGTGTGCCTGTACAATTCTCATTTCTAAGAAAACACATGACCACAAAGTTCCCACCCAATCTGCTCCAGGACTTAGAATCAATGTTTGGGAGAAGAATTTAGAAAATAGATGTTGGGGGGGGGGGGGGGGAGCTTTTTACATGCACTTCCCTATTTTTTAATTTTTTTGCAAACACTCCAGTTCTCTCTTATGCTGTCTGAAATGAAGTCAGAAGCAGGGCTAGTGGGACTGGGGTGTGGTGGGGGGGACCTTCTTCACACCCCTTTGACATCCCACTTTCTCTTGCAAACAAGTGACCTTTTCTGGTCATCCTGACTTCAGAGGAATAACTGGCTCAGACAGGCTGCCTTATTCAGGGTCATTCAGCTCACAAGTGATGTTGCCTTGAAAGTCCAAAGTGGGTGCTGTGTGTACCTCACCCCGCCCAGTCAACATTCACTTTTCAGAGTGTCAATTATCTTCCTAGGGGATCATTCCCTCTGACAAAGGTTTGAGGAGTTTGACAGTTTATGCTGTTGGGGAGCGAGAGGGGCAGAATTATTGCAAGACATTAAAAAACCCAAATCACTGTAAGGTATGTTTAGACCAAAGAACTTATTCGTTCATAGATAGATAGATAGAGATAACTTTTTTCAAATATAGTGACCGTTGGGATTTTCTTTAAGTATAAATGCAAGTCAAAGTATTTTTTAATTGCTAAACTTTCTGTCAGTCATCGGATACAATTACAGTTATGTGGATATCTTAGAAATTATTTGACATTAAAATAAAGTTATCACCCTAACCGGTTTGCCTCAGTGGATAGAGCTTCGACCCTTCGGACTGCAGGGTCCTGGGTTCGATTCCTGTCAAAGGCACATGCCTGAGTTTCAGGCTCAATCTCCAGTAGGGGGCGTGCAGGAGGCAGCCAATCAATGAGTCTCTCATCATTGATGTTTCTTTCTATCACTCCCTCTCCTTTCCTCTCTGAAATCAATTTTTAAAAAAATATTTAAAAAGAAAAAGACACTATCTTATTTTTTTTAAATACAGTTATCAAATTAGCTCTCATACCTAAAGCCTATGAATTACATCTAAGCCTTGCTGTGTTACTCCTTACAACAGTAACAAAGGTCCTTTTAGCAAATTAGTACCAACGGTTCCATTCTGGCCATGCAGAGGCTTAGGGACAGGAGTTCCACTTCCCCTGACTTTCAAAATCAAATGCAGATTGACCCCACCTTTTGGGGGGCCCATCTCCTCCGCTCCTGCATTACCAAGTCCTTCCTCTGGGGGAGCCGGTGGTTTGCATCGCCTTGTCTGCGGCCCTTCATCCCATTCTCTAGCTGCCCCCTCGCCGTGTCACTTTCCGCCTACAGCTGGCTCTCTCCCTCCCTCAGCATCTAAGGGAGAGTTTGCTTTCCTTGATTTCAGCAGACTTTTGAGGGCGGGAGTGGGGGCAGGTAGATGTGGCTCCTAGATCAAAGCTACAAACGGGGGCTATCCTTTCAATTCTCCACTCAGTTACACCTACTTCTGCACATGACTGGCTTCTAATGAAGCAATACTTACTGCTGGGGGCAGGGACTGAAAGATTGGATGTCACTTAAAAGTAAACCGTACAGAAGTTCCTCTTACCTGGCAGGCTCACCATACGTCTGAATAAATCCTGAATTTCTGTAGGTAGGCTACTATATGGGCATTAATGTCAGGCACTCCAGACCCTGCATTAATTTCCTATTTTTCACTATTTTCTATCCCAATTAAAGTGTAAGTGTCTGGACAGCAAAAATCAGCCCATGTGCCCCTGTTTTCTCTATTCCTATCACAGAATTGGACCCAAAGGGACGGTTCCATCAGAGAAGGTTTCTGCTGATGAAAATTCGTTAAAATACAGTCCAGCCAATGTGGCCCAGTGGTTGAGTGTCGACCTATGAAGAAGTCAGGGTTGGGGGAGGTCATGGTCAGGCAGGCACATGCCCAGGTTGTGGGCTGCATCTCCAGTAGGGGGTATGCAGGATTCTTTCTCAGTGTCCATGTTTGTCTCTCTCCCTCTCCCTTCCTCTCTGAAATCAATAACAATATATTTTTTTAAAAATAAAATTAGTTGAAATACAATATTTGGGTTATGCAATGAACACACAGCAGTTTATATGATAAAAAATAAACACAGAAAAGAATGGTATTAATTTTTAATGGTTTACAGCTACAGTATCCACTTTCACTAGTATAGGTATATATACATGTATAAATATAGTTACAGATCATAAATATCCACATGGCAAAATAGACCTGCCACCAGGCAGATACACACGAAATATCTCTGCAACTAAATAAACAAACAGATGTAATACTGAAGAAAAGTAGATACTGAGGTATTTTTTTTTAAATCAAAGTGACTATTGCCTATATATCAGCGATTTTCAACCGGTGTGCTGCAACAATTTTTAAAACATGCAATACCTGACTATTAAGTCAGGGGCACTGACCTCTTTTCCCTTAGATTGTCAAATAAAAAAATGACAACAGCCAATACAACAATGGCTGTCAGATGTGAATGAATCAAAATTATACCTTTTTTTTTGTCAGATCAACAAAATATATATTTTTTGGTGGCCACAGAACTTTAGTAATTAGTTTGCATGTGCAATGAGATGGAAAAGGTTGAAAATCGCTGGCCTATTTTAAAACATTCTTACTGTAGGAGTTCAAGTAGTTATCAAAACCTTGTAAAAAACAAACAAAAAAAAAACCACAAACAATAAAACCCTTGTTTCATAACCTAAAACTGTAACTTCAACTAACACAAATTGTTAAACTAAACAAAAAATATTTTAATTATAAATAGGTAAAATAAATAATATTATTCTTGATGAAATTCAATCATGGTGTTTTTATATATATTTGGAAATTGTTCATAGACTGGTCTTTTTTTTAAAAAATGAAATGCATGAAAGCTTTCTCAGAATCTACATGTTACTTTAATGAAAATTTATATATATGTATTTCACCCAGAGTGAAAATTCCTTAAAATCCCTTATTTATACATAGAATTTTCATTCTGAATGAGCAATCTATTCCTCTTTTTTTTAAAAAGTATATCCCTTATACCTGAAACTAATACAAAATAATATTGAATGTAAACTGTTATTTAAAAATAACTTAAAAAGTATATCCTAATAATGAAAACATGTTTAACTTCTTGTAAAAATCACTTCTTATAGAATTCACAGTGATTAGTGTGGAAAAGGGCATTTTACAGATTTTAGAAATTTCTTTAGAAACATTCATTTTCTTATAAAGTTACTTTAGAATATTTGTTTTACCAAATTTTAATTCAGCAGTAAAAAGTAAAATTCACTTTTTTTTCTATTATCCCTGGTTATCCAAAATCCCTATGCTCTTCATCTTTTAACATTCAACCTAGGAATTTTACTGGCACCAAATTTGATCAAATTTTTTTAAATTCCATACTGCCCAGTTAAGGCCCACAGGAACACATTTAATGAAAAGTCATCTGAACAGAAGTAATACATTTTAAGTAAAAAAAAAAATTATCAAATTACTTTATATTTTGTAGTGACCTATGAAACTATAACATTCAGTGTTCTCAGAATGAAATATTTACTTTTAACAAGATAACATATATAAAACAAATATTATACATTGTTCTGGAATTGTCATCCCTAAGTAGAAATAAACACTGAACATATTCTGTTTTTTGGTCCCTGCCAAAACATTCTAGTTATTTATCAACTCTTCTTACACTAGGCTGGGCATCAACCTTCAACAAAAATACTAGAAAAATTCTCTAAGCAGAAACAAAGAAGTTTAATAATTCATTCCATATTTTCAAAGCTCTTCAATTCTTGCTTTAAAATAAACAAATGACTTCTGGGAAAACTCCAACAGAATTTCATTGTGATGTATTCCATCTTCATTTCCAAGCACATCCCAAAGCAAGTGAGAGCTTCTTCACATTCTTCTCCATTATAACGCAGTCTCTCACCACTAATGGATGAAGTATGGTAAATCCAGCTTTATAGGAGTCGCCTCATTAGAAGGCTTCTGAAGCAGTCAGGTTCCTGAGCCGAAGAGTTTGTACATCAGATTCAGAAGTTTCTGCAGGAAACTCAGCTTGTCTCCAATTCTCCTTAATTGAAGGGCACACTCAATTTCAGCCTCTGAAAAAGAATGCAAAACATCAAAATTAAATTGACAACATTCCAAACTACAACCAGCAAGAATGACAAGTTGAGTAGGTTTCCCGTGAAACATTCCTCTTACTGTTAGTTTTATGTACACCTGTATTCTGTACGTGAGATGGAACACATACAGTCACACAACATATACAAACACACTGTGACTCAAACAAGAAAAAAAAAAGAAAAGAAAAAAGAAAAGTTGAACGAAGACATTTACTTTGAAATCTTCTTTTAAAGTATCTTGGAAGGCAAATAT